TTGACAACGGATGCCTCCCTGTCAGGGTGGGGAGCGACAATGTCGGGCAGGACGGTGAACGGGACCTGGGACCCGAGGCTGGCTCAGAGTCACATAAACATCTTGGAACTCTGGGCAGTGTTTTATGCACTGAAACATTTTCTGACATTTCTCCAAGGACGCCACGTCCTGGTAAAAACAGACAACACCACCGTAGTGGCGTACATCAACCGCCAAGGCGGCACTCGCTCACTGCAGTTACACAGGTTGGCTCGAAAGCTAATCCTGTGGAGCAGCACCAAGCTCCTGTCTCTTCGAGCCACACACGTTCCAGGGGTGCTGAACAGGGGTGCAGATCTTCTGTCTCGAGGGAACCCTCTGTACGGGGAGTGGGCTCTTCACCCTCAAGTGGTGAAGCAAGTCTGGCAGAAATACGGCCAAGCAGACGTAGATCTCTTCGCCTCGCGGGAAAACACTCAATGTCCACAGTTTTTCTCCCTGGCAGACGCAAACGCACCACTGGGGATGGATGCGCTGGCCCACTCGTGGCCAAACGTGCTGCTCTATGCATTCCCCCCGCTCAGTCTGATCTCCCCGACTCTAGACAGGGTACAAGAACAGGGCTTGACGCTAATCCTGATAGGCCGCGGTGGCCGTCCAAACATTGGGTGGCGGAAATAATACAGCTCTTGACGGGCGAGCCGTGGCCTCTGCCCATACACAGGGACCTTCTGTCCCAGGCTGGCGGAGAGATCTACCACCCTCACCCAGACCGAATAGCGCTCTGGGCTTGGCCGGTGAGAGGTGGATCCTGAACGCAACAGGCCTGCCTGAACGGGTCATGGACACCATTCAGAGTGCAAGAGCCGCCTCCACGCGCTCTCTTTACAGTGGTAAATGGCGGGTTTTTGAGGAATGGTGCCGTCTTCGGCACGTCATTCCTTTCCAGTGTTCAGTGGTTAACCTGCTATGTTTCCTGCAGGATTTAGTAGACAAGGGCAAAGCTTTTTCTACTATTAAAGTATATTTAGCGGCTATCTCAGCCTGTCATTTGGGCTTTGGCGAGAAGACGGTGGGGCAGCACCTTTTGGTATGTCGTTTCATGAAAGGTGCTCGCCGTAAGCTCCCCGTCTCCAGGCCCCTGGTTCCTCTGTGGGATCTATTGGTGGTGTTGGAGGCCCTCTCTCAACACCCGTTTGAGCCGATGGAGGCAGCGGAGATGAAATTTGTTTCACTTAAGACAGCCTTGCTCTTGGCTTTAACCACAGCAAAGCGTGTAAGTGACTTACAGGCTTTGTCCATTCGCCCTTCCTGCTTACAGTTTGCTCCAGGGCTCACTAGGGTCTGTATGCGGCCCAACCCGGCTTTTGTGCCTAAGGTGGTGGAGACAGCGTACAAGTGTCCCACGGTAGAGCTTTCAGCTTTCCACCCTCCTCCGTTTTCCTCCTCAGAGGACCGAAGGCTTAACACGTTGTGTCCAGTGCGAGCACTGCATTTGTATGTGAGTAGATCGGCAAGTTTCAGAAAAGCAGATCAGCTGTTCGTGTCCTGGGCCAATTCTCACAAAGGAAAGCCATTGTCACGCCAGAGGCTGTCCCACTGGATTGTGGAGGCCATAACTCTAGCCTATAGCTGTAGGGGTTTGCAGCCCCCCCCAGGGTTTGAGGGCTCATTCCACGAGGAGTATGGCCACCTCATGGGCCCTGTTCAAGGGGGTTCAAGTGCAGGATATTTGTGCGGCAGCAAGCTGGTCTACACCTCACACTTTTGTAAGGTTTTACAGGCTAGATGTCTCGGGGCCTTCCTTAGCACACGCTGTGCTAGAGGCCAACGCGCCAGAGTCCCTGTGAGGGTCAGTACTGTGGTGGAAGATTTTGCACAGACAATCGTTAAGTAAGGAACAAAGGCTCTGAGTCAAGTATGTCTTTTCTCCGTTTATTTCCTTGCAAGGGAAAAAGGGTCACAACAGCTACGTGGTCAGTAGACTGTCAAGAACCTCCTTTTCTTCCCAACACATCGAGGCAGTTCTTATACCTAAACTTAGATATCGGTGGCGTCAACAGAAACCGTTAACCATCTTGTTGAGTATCTACAGCCAGGGTACTGGGAACATCTTATCCATGTAAGACACGTCAGCTCTTTGACCGTATCCTTGCTCTCCCAACATGCTAAAACAAAGGTGGTCATAGACATAACAAACACTTTGTTCAATCTCTACAGCTATGACGCTGGAAACATCTAATCCAAGAGGGAGACATCAGTTCTTATGTCAGGGCCTTTGTGACCTAAGCATTTGCAACTAATAAACTGGTTATACAAATGAAGCATTTAAAAGGGTCACATATCATTTTCCCATTACAGTACCGGGCTAAACAGTTTGTGGCTTCGGGAACGGCATGCAATACGGGAGCGCTCTATATCTCCCATAGTGAAACACCGAAGGAAGTTAGAAAAAGAACTTTGGGTTACTTAACGTAACCTCGGTTCTTTGATAACAGAGTGAGGTGTTTCACCACACATCCCTCCTTGCATTGACACAAAAAGAAATCGGTCTGGAATGATTTGCGAGGGGCGGTCGACTGTGATAATATGAAGGGGCGGGGCCCCAGCACAGTTCGACCTGTCTGTCACTGACAGACGTGGTGTCATTGGAGCTTCCTTAGTTGGTCACGCCGAGGCGATTCCCCATAGTGAAACACCTCACTCTGTTATCAAAGAACCGAGGTTACGTTAAGTAACCCAAAGTTATGATCGGTATTATACGTATATATTCCCTTATACCGCAGAATGAAAGCATCTTCTTTAAATCTGACCCTTGCTCCGGTTCGTGGCGCCTGTAATTCGTCTCGGAGTTGTGAAGACGGCACAGCGCTTCCTGTAAACGACACGGCAAAGAAAATACACTTTAATAAAGCTGTTTAGCTCACTTGTAAGGCTACTAGGCTACTCTTAGCTTTCGTTTGAGGCTACGCTACTTTTAGCTTAGCTTGCAGTCATCGAACGTATTCTTACCGCTATCTTGGGATCGTGCGCCCGTCTCCTCTTCTTTGAGTCAGTTCCTCCAGAGCCGCCATCCTCTCCTCCATGGACAGAAACCCGCAGAGTCCCGAACGCTCCAGTGGAGCGAACCGCTCGTTGATATCGGCAGTTTGTTGTTGGAGTTGACGATCAGCAGTACTTGCAAGACGAGCATACAAACAGACTATATTCAGAAGAACTGTATCTCCAGTTCCTTTGTTTGGTTTTTGCTGTTTCGTGAATAATGGCTGGACGACGTCTCGCGTTCAACTCGCCTTCAACTCCTCTCCGCGGTCACCAACTTTCGGCCAGTCCGCAGACAGACGAGAAGAAACTGCTGAATGCTCTCAGTGGTGCCTCTTTCTCCATTCCACCAGACAATCTTGGATGAGTCTGACATACATGCAATGTTGACAATGTATCATCAGATGTACCCTTGTGTTACTGAGGTTGAATGTTTTGCCATGACATGTAAACGGGTAACATATATGAATGTAACTTACTCAATCGATAGATGCAGAGCATAAAGGTCAGCATGTGTTTATGCTAAGTGGTTTTGAGGAACCCGTCCTTGACCCTCTAGCAGAACTACGACCAGCCATTATAAAGCAGTTTATAGCTGTTAATGTTGTGTCAAAGGGTACGGCATTTAAACATGTTCCTGGACAAGTTTCCTGGCTTCATCCCCACCCAGACAGACATTTTTATGGAAAGCCAATAGAAGTTTGGGGCTTGCAGGGAACAGACACGTCATACCCAGCATCATTTCTGCCAGTTGAGCGCATTGCTAGAAGATGTGTGGGTAATACATCCTCTGTGCATTTAAGTAAGACCAAAGAAAAGGTCACTGTAGTCCTGCCACTATGCACTGTAGTTGAGCTCTAGGAGACTGTGATCTCTGCAGACCCCTCATTCTGATTCAAATGTTATTTGCATGGAATGCTCATTTTACCTTGATTAAAACAAATTTTTTAAAGAAGTTATTTTGTGTATCTTTTTTACATAACATTTGCCATTGCTAATGGCGTACACGGTAATCTAGCATATTTGAATTAAATAAATAAATTCAAGCTAAAATGTAAGTCTATAATTAGGCTACTGAGCCTGATCTATTTGTACCAGAGATTTTCTTACCTTTTAAAAAAATGTCACCTGGGCTAAAACTCCCTCTGCGACCCTGATTTGCATTTGTATATCCTCTAGAATTAGGAGGAGGGGGGTCATGGGGGGACAACTGCCAAGGGAGGCCCACATCAATTTCTGATAATTTACGGCAGTTTTCGGCATTGCCCGCAAATTGCCGCAAACCTGAAATTCCACGACAATTTACAGTGCCGCATACTGCCGAAAATCCCACTTTTCATGCAGTGCAAGCAGATGTTTACCTATTAAAGACTTTGAGTTTAAATATGTTTGAATGCTGTTCTTTGAGTTTTCCAGCCAAAGCGGTGTCCACTTTTAAATAAAAAAAAATGGAGGCAGTGTGGCAAAGGATTTTGAGTATACTTGGCAGTGAAATTTCAGAAGTTGAGAAAACTTAAAATATTTAAGCAACCAGCTGCAAAGCTATTTTGAGTATAATCAACATAAAATGTTCAGTGCTGTTGATGGATGTTTTCAATCTAAAAGACCACACCATTTCAAGTTCCTCCAATTTAATGTTATAAGTGTTCTGAACTTAAGTACCTGAGTAGATGCGACTATCAAATGCAATATTTTATGTACGGTTAACTCAAGTGTAATAGTAGGTCTGAATAATATTGTTAAGTTTGACTAACTTAGGATAGAGCAAACTTCTTATTGTGAGTTGACGCAACACATTATCCATTAGTTAAGCTCAAAAAAGCTTTGCAGCTGGTTGCTTAACTATTTTAAGTGTTCTCAACTCTTTTTTTTTGGATGCAGTAATGTTGATCTTTTTTTTCTTGGTGTATTAAGAAAGTAAAGGTGTTTGAAAAATCTAATCTCTCTCCCTCCCCCCAACCCCTCTCTCTCACTCACAGGAGGAAGCTATAAGAAGATTGGATACTACGACAGCACTAAAGGCAATCTGTCCTGGTATGGGAATGACAGGTGGATAGGTGAGTTATAATCTTCTGCAGCACCATGTATTTTCCCCTTTCTCACTGCCTGTTACACTCCTTCTCATCTCCTGTTTTCTCTCACCCTGCAGCTTTGTCCTTTGTAATTCCTCTCCTCCCTCCCTCTCTCCATTCCACACTTCGAGTAGGAGATAGGCTGCAAATGTTCATCAATCAATTAGTTATGTTTTATGAAGCATGCAAGAACAGCTAAGCTCACCAAACAAAAGTGATGCAGTAGCAAATTAAGCCAGAGTTATGGGCTTCATTTGGGACAATGTACTATGGAGTGACAATTTCCCGCCATTTACTAATTAAACAGGCGAGCCATTTCAAAGCTATGACTGTAATGAAAATGAATAGAAGATGCTAGTTGACAGTGTAAACAAAACAGCACAAAGAAATCCGGTTGGCAGAGGGATGGGATTGGTCCCAATGACCTTGACTTTGAGGAATGAAATTGTGTTTGCTGATCAGTAGACAGGGGAGTTCTGTGTGCCAAATGCCTGTTTTACCTCACGAAACAATGACAAGATGCAGATCTAAAAGTGCTTCCGTTTGCATGTTAGTCCACTGGCCGTAATAAAGGGTCTTTAGAAATGCAACTGATTGGATTTCCTGGCAGAATTACATTTTGTTTCCATAGGAGGTTGGTGTGAGACAACTATTCTAAAACTAGGAAGCTTAATTGGAAGTTTAATTTGGGAAAAAAATATTCCATTGAAACTTATCAGCCATTTATTACAAAGGACTAGTTTATGGACTGTAAATTAGAAGGCAGTGTGTTTTTATTTTCTGTTATAAGTAGATTTCTGCTTCCCACATCTCCCTGTGTTCCAATCTACTACAGTTAAATTAAAACACTTTTTGGTCTGAGCAACTGATATCCGAAAAAAAGAATGAATGCCAAAGTACTGTACCTAATCCTAAATTTACCTGGTGGTGGACAGACTCCGCATATAGATATACCCATGGACATCATTAGAATTAACATTAGGTCTAAATGCTTCTCTGCCATATATTTCACAGTTTCTTCCTTATTTTATTTCTCCTCTTGTCGATATGTGCACCTGCTCCACTACATACAGTACTTTCCCAGAATCATTTACTCTCAAAATGTCGCTCCACATTCTACATATTGTCATTCCAATTGTCTGATCTCCTTTCTCTCTTACATATATCATCTAATCCTTTAGATTCTTCTGTACTTGTTTCCCTCTTTGCTTTTTCTAATTTTACCTACTTCTTCTCCTCAAGTACCCTCACCAATTCACCGTTGTATTATTTCCATTCAGTTATGTGTTGTATTGTGTTTCTTGCGTAATTCTGTTATATTTTGTATTGTATAAGAATTAGCCATGCAGTATTCTCAACAACAGTGGACAAAAAAGTTTCTCTATTTTAATAAACATCTAACTCACTACTCGATAAACGCTTGACATGTACACATTTATTTCATCTTAACAACACCTCTCCCACTCATAGGACATAGTAAATCCTTTCGTGGATTATACATTCCAAAACTCCTATTCTTCTGCCAAAACAAATACAACAGCTTTCTTAATGGATTCATCTAACCAACCACAACACCACATGGATAGACCTGCAACTACTACATTCCGCCATATTACGGTCATCAAGATGTTTATTTACACTCCAGTGCTGTGTAAATATAATCCTATCCGGCATAACCTCGACTTCCTACTCCAAAGCCCACCATTGCGCTACCACACATGGGCACAATCCCGTCTACGGTTACTGAAAAGCACTTTTTGTAGTTCATCCAAGTATCCTCTTGCTGCTATATGACATGAATATGATATATGATAAGAATTGAGGGCAGGCAGGATGTGGAGTTCTGCGTTTTCGGTGTTGGCCAGAGAGACCGTCTTGGCCATATGGACGGTGTTAGGACGTCAGCAGATGCTGTTGGAGAATGGAGAAGCTATGGTACAAGATGCCAGTGTTGTGTGCACTGCAGCCACTCACGCCAAGACAACTCCCTGCCGGTTTGCAGCATCTTTGCTGGCAGTAAACACTAAAAATAGCCTGGACAGTGACGTGAAATAATTATTCATCGTGAAGGTTACCATGGCTCTGGATGAGATTGGTTGCTACTTGTTGATGTGTCACAGCTTATGGTCTACTCTACACCAACACATATTAGGTCTCGCCTCTCAATCTCCTTCTCTCTTGCCTTGTTTGTTACTTCTCCCTTTTCTTTTTACTTTCTTTACCGTCCATTATCCCACAACCCCCCCTTTCTCTATATATCTAACCGTATCTTTCTAACCCCTCTAATCATTTTGGTCTCCTTGACAACCACTGCTGCATTGCTGCCTTTCTCATATTGCCTTGGTAACCATTATGTGGCCAGTCGCCATGGCAACATACTGTCCCGATTCCATCATCCAGAGCGAGGAGAGACAGTGTTGGAGAACACACTTTTCCAAAGGAAAACATAAACACATAATTGCCATTTGCCTTTAACAAACACATCCACAAAGAGTATGTTGCATCATTTCTGATGTCAGTTATGATTCTGGATCCTAGCTTCTTTTACTGCAGAACTCTTTATTTGAATTAATTATTACTGTTGTTAACGGGGTAGGAAACCTTTAAACCTTTGTAAAACAAGGGCACAAGCAAGACATGTTGTGGTGGCAGCCTGCTTTTGCACCTAATTTCGGTGCCCGGGAATCAGCTTTCTGACTCACACACTCCCATAGAAAACACTCAAACAACGTAAATGAGAACACAAGTATTATTTAATTTTTACATTAACAGGGAGGACAACGGGAGGTCAAAAGACTGTGCCGATGTTCCATCAAATACAAAGCCAGCCCCCGCACCTCAGTCCCACACCCTCCTCTTATCCGCTGATCCTTGTCAGGTGAATCTAATCATAAGTTATTTCAAGTATGTACCAAAAATACTGTAACGCACCACAAGAGACCAGAGTGAACTCAAGCGCAGATTTATTAGCCGGGTACAGACAAGGATCAGGCGTGGTAGGGTCCGGTGAACAGGCAGGGGTCGAAAGCCGGGAGCGCGGAGGTAGGCAGAGGTACCGTCGAGGGTCAGGCAGGCGTGAACGAGGTCTGGGACAAAGGAGAGGTCAATAACAGGTAGGCAGAAACAGGATATCAAGAGAACGCTCAGAATGTGATGGCAACATGCACAAGACTTCGCACCGGCCTCTGAGGCTTCGGCAGCTTAAATGCCCAGCCTCTCCTGATGAGAGACGAGCCACAGGTGCGTTGGTGGGAGTGGCCGTGCCCGCTCAGTGGGCTGATCCTGAGTGGCACAAACCATTGTCACGTGCCACAGAGGGGTGACTGAGATCCCGAGCTTCGAACCTTAGTATTCCGGAGACGGGGAACGTCTGTTTGTGACAAATACATTAAGTGAAGACACATAATTCCTACCAACAACCAAATAAATTATTTGTAGCAAAACAGAAAATATGGCTCCAACACATGAGATTCTTTAAAAAATGACAAGACAATGTAAAAGTGACAATACACTTTTGACATACTGGAAGTGCAACGACAGTATCCTTCGGTGTTACAGGGGTGAGAGACTACGACTGGAAATTAACGTGTGTAATAATTATAGGGACAATTCATCGAAAGTCAATAACTCAAATTCCTTGGGGGAAAAGAGGGGATCTACTCGATATGTGATCTACCAACTGACATACCGACATAACCATCAAATGCAAATCAATTGTTTCGAAAATTTACACAAGCCACAGCAAACTTGTCTGATGAAGTTTGCAGGAAGGGAGAAAAATACATTCAGTACTATGTTGGGGGAGAATTGTTGAGCTCCTTTTGGGGGAAGGAACCTCTGTCCCTTTTCAGCTGAATTGTAGTCATTTGACTTCTGTCTGTACTTACGGCTTGTGTTGATGATTTCTGTATTCTTATGATTTTTCCTATATTCTAGTTAGTAAAATACTTAATCATAAGCGAGTCTCTGATACTTTTGATTTCTCACAAGGGCTGAATCCCCAAATTTCCACCACATACTACATACATTTTTTTCTAGCAAAAAAGGCCTACCTTAACTAACTATCAGGTTTCCATGACATGTGGATGATTTGAAAGGTTTGTTGTGACCCCATGACTTTCAGCTCAATAAAGGTAAAAAAGTGACACCGATGTAAAACTTTATCCTTTGATATGACGCCAATCCTTAAATTGTTAGGGATTTTATTCGAGTTGGATTTATTGAATACAGGGGCACTTGGCTATTTTCCTTGGCACTTGGCTAATAGAGACTCGAATCACCCTTTTATAAAGGTTGAATTTGGTAACTCCAACTTTACACCTCCCATGTTCAAATAACGAGCCCTCTATCCAGACTATTCTAGGACATAGATAAATAAATAAAATAATTTGGCTCCTACCTCGCAGATATTTCTTTATAATCTGTGGGTTGTCAACCAGAAATGCGGTGGGTGGGATGACTAGGCGGCGTTATAGGATTGTTGGGTTGACAGACTGGTAATTCATTTTGTGGTTTGGAGCATGTTCGAGGGAATAAGAAAACTGGCAGACATGCCAGATGTTGGATAGGGCAGTAATAATAAAGAATTTATCCTCAAACTAAATTACAAAAAGATTGATTGAAAAAATGAAAAGACAGGTAGATAAAATAGATTAAAAAAAACACAAAAAAGCAGGCCTCAAGAAAAAGGCCTCACATATGCTGGGCCTCACTCTGACTCTCACTCTCACTCTAAGACTAGAGAAATGTCTGAAACTCTGCCAAGGCGGGGCACCGAACAACGAATGCGTTTCTCCAAAAACGAGCTCCGGGTGACGTCACAAAGCACCTATTAAGAGGGGTTCCTCTGCTCTTGGGTTGCACCCAATGAGGATGGAACAGCAATTAAGGTTTCTGCTGGCCACAGACAATGGTTAGGGACGGAACAATCTGGTAAATGGTCCTCAGTCAGCTATTAATTCTTCATTACCATATTTATTGCATTTATTCATGATTGTAAGTATTTATTTTTTGTTCATTTAGTACATTTAAGGTTCACTTATTAGCTTTACATAACTCAGCAGTTGATGTCCCTCAATGCTACGAAAGAAAAACGTAAACAGCAGAACATTCCTATACTGCATTATCAGAATTTGGAGAAACAGCAGCTAATTTTAACATTAAATACTTAATATCAGGAAAAAATGTCAGTTTAATCATGTTTTAGCATGATCACCTGTCATAGATCATTTGTTGCCAAAGTCCTATTTGATCCATTCCACTTTCCTGTGACCTCCATCAGCCAGGAGCATGCTGGTACAGTCCCAAGGACAAAGCTGTGCCACTTGGTCCGGATGGTTGGAGGCTTTCTTGGGTGGTGGTTATCTCCAGGTCCAAGGGTCTTTATGCAAACCTTGGGCTTCCAGTTTAAAGCCATCTCCATCATATGCTATAAATACTCCAGTAACATAGCGAAAAAGACTGCATTCCTCTTATTTCAAAAGAACTTGATTATGTAGTATTTGAACTACTGTTTACGGATTACACAGAATCCACACCTCAAGTTAATTTAGCCAGGAAACTATAACTCAAATCCCACTGGAAATTATATGAAAGTGTCCAGGTTATTTACATGTCTCTGCGTCTCATAAATACAGGTCTATCACAAGTTTTCAAAACGTGTAGCATCTGGTTCTTTGAGAAAGATTTGCATTGGAGCCTATGGAGCTTGAGACAGACGTTGTCTCACTCTTGGCTTCTCAGGCCAAAAGTGAATGTCTGTGGGATTCCATAGCCACAGGACTACAAACAGCACATCCACACCATTATTTTGATCCAACAATGAAGCCTGAAGAGTAAATATTGTGGCCACGAGAAATATTTTTTGAACCAGATTCTAACGCTGCTGTAAACTCCGTTCTTCAGCTCTCACTCTAAGAAATGCAATACACACTAATGTAATACTCAGAAACTGACTGGAAAAACTCATTAAACATAATCAGTGATTATGAAAAAAGTAAAATATTTATCAACAAGCTGTTTCTTTCATAAAATAGTCTAGACTTTTGTCAGCATTTTGAAGTTTAAATGGTGCCTGTAGCTGAAAACAGAAGGATGTGAAAGTTTAAGTGGATTTGAAAGTGAACTGCATTGGAAAATGAGTTGGTTGATTAACGTCAAAAAGTTAACATTTATTTAGAAGAGAAAAAGATTACATGAGGAATTCTCCGCAGATCGGATATCTGTCTCTAACTATTGCTTGCAAGCAGGAGGTCGAATACACAAGCACGTATTTTAGCGTTCGGTGTAAATGGCGTCTCCGAGCAGTAAAAACGCTGAGTTTTTATACACATATGTGAAGGCCATCAAGTGGCAGGTACAAATTATAATTAATAGACAAAAAGGAGAAACGAAGGTGGTTGAGGTGTTCAATCATGAGAGTTTTTACATGCTCACCCAGGTGCACGTCATTTTCCCCCAAGAACTCGTGAAGCGTAGGGAAACACAGGTGTGTGTTCCCACTCACACAACTTGCCCAGAACCGTAGATTCTTTATCATGCCGTCAACCCTGTCTTGTGTGTTGAACACAGTTACACTGACTCCCTGCAGACTTAGATTGAGTTCATTCAGAGCTGAGAAGATAGGCAAGCCTTTTCAGAAAATCTTGCATACTGGAGGCCAAATGAAACGGATTCTCCTCAAAAAACTGCTGCAATTCGTGCCGGAGTTCAAAGAGCCTTGTCAGCACTTTGCCGCGGGACAGCCAACGCACCTCTGTGTGCAGCAGCAGTGATTTGTGTTCGCTGCCCATCTCGTTACATAACAGTGTGAATATTCGGGAATTTAGCGGAAAAGCTTTAATGAAGTTCACCAGTTTGACTGCGTCGTTCAGCGCTGCAAGTAGATCAGCTGGCATGTTTTTGGCTGCGATTAAATTGAAGATTTTCTGTCCGGTTGTTCGGGTAGCAAGGGGCCGACAGAACAAAAACTCTTCTTGTACCGATCCTTCAAAAAGGTTACGGACATAGAGAAGAAGATTGGCCAGATTTGCGACATCTGCAGACTCGTCTACTTGCAGAGAGTAAAACTCACTCTTCACACGGCTGAGTAGTACAGCCAGGATGTCTTCAGACATGGTATCAATGCGGCGCGACACAGTGTTATTGGACACAGGAATCATGTCCAACTTTTTTGCCTCTTTCTCTCCAATCATACACTCCACCATTTCTTTGGCCGCTGGCAAACACACGTCTTCGGCCATTGTGTGCGGCAGCCCCTTTCTCCCTACTCTGTATCTGAGCAGATATGAAGCCCGTAGTGCGTCTTTCGTAGACCCAACGCATGAATGAAACTGCATTTTCTTTTGGCTTTTCTGCGACAGCTGCTGTCTTCTTTTACGTTTCTATCCAAAAATAATATATTATAGTTTTTATATTTAAAATAAAAGCGATTACAAAGGAAATGTTTACTTACTTTCAAGCGTTTTTATTGTATGGGAAATCCTTTTATATATGTTAATGGAAAAATCCCACTTAAAAAAACTGACCGCCATTATATTTTTCCTCTCGCGCACCCCCTGGTCGCAGCTCGCGCACCCCTGGGGGCTTCTGCGCGAACAGTGCAATATCACTTTTATTTAAATAATTCCTTTATAAAAGCACATCAAAAGAATTTATACCAATAGTGATGGACCGGGGGCAACAATGACACTTCCAACAATAAAAACACTGCACACTGTTAAAAAAATGCTAAAATAACCACCACTGCAAACTAATAGCACTGTGAATTATGTTGGGCACACACAAATACTATTAATGATCCTGGTTAATATACACACAACACACTAGAAGGGGGGAAGGGGTAAGCAACGGTCATCTAAAGGCACAATATCAGTGTGTTATTTTTAGAAATAGAGGGCAAGATGGAGGCACTAGAGCATATTACTAGAATAAAACTATAGTCGAAGAAAAAGAGCAGTGGCTGCCCTGCTGACTACTCCGTGTCACCAGTTCAGCCTCCTAGGCCCAAGGCACTTGTGCACCAGCAGGTAGGACTCTGGGCTCACCAGGTCTAGGTCAGGTCTGACATTCTCCTTAGTTTAGTTTGCTCACACACACGGTACTGGCGAGCAACAAACAGAGCAACCCAGACTTCAGCACATGCTGGACAACGAGAACGCGAGTTGCTCAGCTCTCACGGGATCTCCTTTATATGGAGAGGCTCTCCTTGAGTTTAAGCTTCCTGCTCTACTGAGGCTCCCAGGTCCTAAGGTCCCACATCTCACACATATGTAATTAATTTTGTTCTTGTGCCTTCTAAATCTAGAACGCGATGTAGAGAATTGTGCAAAACTGTTGGGGGGATTCATGGGGGGTGGCAAGGCACTGTAATCCCCGAAGAGTTTCTTTCCTTAGTGTTGCACTGGCAAGCCATGAATGAAGTGTGTAAGAAAATGTCCATTCATGTTTGGCACATCTATGCTGACCTGTAGCAAACCTTGATTAACTCCTCCATCTTCTTGGTCCCCAGTCTCACTGGCCAGATGACCAACTCCCCCCATACAACCACAAACGTGTTCCACCACAACTGTCTCACTTGCTCATCCTACTTTCAATAAATAAGCTTGACAGGGTTACACACTTGGTGGCCAACTAACTGCTAAATAGAAAACAGTTATCAGATGGAATAGATTTTCTTCTTCAAGGTAACAATTTTTACCACATTAACCGTTCTGTATCCTTGTATGGCTTGTATATAAAATCAACATAATTATAGAAAAATGTGGGTTTCTGAACATTCAATTAAATTCATTTTCTTTTGTATAGCCCAATATCGCTGTGTACAGAATGAACAATGTAAAAGATTTGATTCAAATAATTGTGAGTAGCAAGCCAGGCGCATGCCGGACTACTCCTGGGGCAACCACCACCAGATAAAACCACCATCCACAGAAGCCTGTGGGGAGGGAAAGCACAAATACTTTTGGAAAGGGTAATGTTGGTGTATGATCACAGTGAAAATTGATCATTGTGATGAAATTATTGTAAATGAACATACGTTGGAACACAAAAACATTTTCCTTCCACATCACAATCTAATAATTTAATGTGGGGTTTTTATGACTTTTTTTTCCCCCATTATGAGAACGTCAACTCCCTGTTTACCTTAGCGACCACTAGACTCCAAAGCAACCTCTCAATATCTTTGTTTCTTGTGCCTTTCTTTATTAGTTATGTAGAAATCAACACATTTTGGATAATATGTTTGAGAGGATTATTAGAACAACTTTTAGATGATTTCAACATGATTTTATTCTACTCATAACTGCAAACGTATGTTCTCAGGTTTGACAGCCTCATTTAACAGTAGTACTGTGCATTAGTGAACATGCCTTTCATTTCATTACACCCATGTTTAATGTAATAGTCAACAAATTAAATTAAATGGTTTCTTTTTTGTCCTGTACTGTGGCTAGTTGGGGTATGAATGGAGCCACAAACTAAATGATACACTACAAACATCAGTGGGACAAAGAAGGCTGAGGCATGGCTGGAGACTGTACAAAGTATTATATGCAGGATTCCTCTGAGGAAGGCCTCAAGTAGAAATGAGCTCCTTCAGCAAAATAAGTCTGACTATAAAGAAAAATCAAAATGAAAGAATGTTTATTTTTAACAAATCAGAGTAATAGCCACAAATTGAATGACAGAAAATAATTTAATTGAATAGAGACCTAAAGTGTGTCGCCCAACTGTGTCTTCTAGGCTCAAGACCCCCTGCAGACCAGACCGTGGTCATCGAGGAGTTTCGCTACCTGTCCCAGAAGATATTTGTGTCTATATCGGTCTTTGCTGGGTTGGGAATCCTGCTGGGATTTGTCTGTCTCACCTTCAACGTCTACAACAGCAATGTCAGGTACGAAAAGGTCACTTTTACCAGACTGTTACGTTTCCTGCTAGGTAACGTAAACAAGACAAACGCGAGGGAAATAAAGAAACTATCAGACAACTGGATAATAATCAAGAATTTATTATTCTAAAATGAAATCCCCCAAAAGCTCAAAGTTGCATAGAAACAAGACAAAACAAACAGGCCTCCAGCAATAGGCCATAACGCATCCTCGGCCTCCCTCTTGGACGCTCACTTCGAGGCTGGTGGTATGAGTCACTGCTGGTGGCAGCCAAAACAGCAAATGCCTCCCCATGCACGAGCCCCTTGGTGATGTCATCCAAAGCGTTTTAATGGGGCCGGCTCTGATCGCGCACCCAATCAGGATGGACCATCAATTAAGCCTTCTGCTGGGGTGTCTGCAAAACACAGAAAGACTAAATATACACGGGCCACCAACAATGGTCAGGGACCGAACACAGAAATCAATATAGATCCAGATCAATATTTTATAAGAACAATAGCTTCAAATACTTATTCCATAGATTAAAATCTGGTGGAGTGACAAATCATACGTGCTTATGTACATTTTTCTCAGCGGAAGCAAGAGGCTAACAAACGAGACATCCAAATCACTAGCCAGTGCCAGACAGTGCTATGCGTATAATTTCTGTTATTTCTTTTTTAGCAAGATACGTGTTGCGGCCATTGCGCAGCACAGGCAATTTCAAAGCTTTCTGCGGAGGTTAGAACGCATTTTCTGCAGAGAATTTATTATTCCATTATTTTTTATTTCTTTCACTACGGTATGGTCTATTTGTGTATTTGTCGGTTAATGATCATGTATTTCTGCTTTTGTTCAAGGTACATTCAGAACTCTCAGCCCTACCTCAACAACATGACTGCAGTGGGTTGCATTATGGCTCTGGCTGCTGTCTTCCCTCTGGGCATTGATGGCCTTCATGTCCACAGGAGGCAGTTCCCAGTCATCTGCCAGGTACACTAACAGTTGGTCCAACTATAGAACTTTAAAATATGGACATATTCTCTCTGACGACAACCAAAGTTTTGTGAAGGCCTGTTGTGAAGCTCAAAGTGGGTGGCTCCAACAGTGGCCATCTTGACAGTGATGACACATTCTAATTCGAGGCAAATCCCAAAATCAGCAGAGGTAAAAGCCAAGGCAAACTATGACACTGTACGTACTAATTTGTTAGTAAGCGGCTCTTTTAAGAACCAGACACGTTATCATTCAGTAAACCTTGTTAATATTTTGTAGGAGCATGTCGTTGAACATTAAAATTAGCTGACACTACAATGTACTATATTCAGTGCAGTGATGGGATGTTTTAAAATGGAAAATATGGTTGCATGCGGTTTATTAAAAGTGCAAGGCGTTTCCTAGACCAACCTCAATAAAAAGGTACGAGAATCAGGAATCAGGAAACATTTATTGCCAAAATATGTCAAACATACAAGGAATTTGTCCTGGTGGTTGCTGCGTGACAGTAGACACAAAACAGACAATAGACAACAAGACAGCAGTGCACAAGTAATAAAATAAAATAAAATGCTAATGCAATGGGTTAGTAGAATAAGGCTATGGGTTAGTATAAAATAAGAGAATAAAGTTAAAGTTAAAAATTTAAAATATTTAACAAGTTAAAAAATATTAAAAATAAAGTGCACTATTGAACAACTGATTAAGTGACGAATGACGACAAAGTAACGAGTGACGACAAAGTGAGAAATGACAGTTAAAGTGACATGTGCAGTATGAAGCAGAGTTACCGGTGGAATGTTATAGTCAGACAGACTGCCGACGGGAAGAAACTGTTCGTGTGGCGGGAGGTCTTAGTCTTGATGGACCTCAGCCTCCTGCCAGATGGAAGGGGCATTTACAACAGTTTTTATCCGGGGAGAGAGGGGTCGGCTACGATCTTTTTAGCTCGCTTCAGAGACCTGGAAGCGAACAAGTCCTGCAGGGACGGCAGATTGCAGCCGATCACCCTCTCTGCAGAGCGGATGACACGCTGCAGCCTGCCCTTGTCCTTGGCTGTGGCTGCAGCGTTACAGACGGTGATGGAGGAGCAGAGGATGGACTCGATGATGGCCGTGTAAAAGTGGACCATCATCGTCTTATTTATTTATTAAAAATATCGAATTTATTTAGCTGTCTCAGGAAGAAGAACCTCTGCTGAGCCTTCTTGGTGATGGAGCTGATGTTCAGCTCCCACTTGAGGTCCTGGGTGATGATGGAGCCCAGGAAACTGAAGGAATCCACAATAGTGACGGGGGAGTCACACAGGGTGATGGGGGAGTGTGGGGCTCTGTTCCTCCTGAAATCCACAACCATCTCCACTGTCTTTAGAGCGTTAAGCTCCAGGTTGTTCTGACTGCACCAGGACACCAGATGGTCAGACTCCCACTTGTAGGCGGACTCATCCCCACCAGAGATTAGTCCAATGAGAGTGGTGTTATCCGCAAACTTCAGGAGCTTGACGGACTGGTGGCTGGAGGTGCAGCTGTTGGTGTACAGGGAGAAGAGCAGAAGGTAAAGAATGCAGCCTTGGGAGGAACCGGTGCTGATGGTCCGAGAGGCTGAGACATGTTTCCCCAGCTTCACGTGCTGCTTCCTGTCAGAGAGGAAGTCTGTGATCCACTTGCAGGTGGAGACGGGCACGTGCAGCTGGGAGAGTTTGTCCTGCAGCAGAGACGGAATGATGGTGTTGAAGGCAGAGCTGAAGTCCACAAACAGGATCCTGGCATAGGTTCCTGGGGAGTCCAGATGCTGGAGGATGTAGTGGAGGGCCATGTTGACAGCATCGTCCACAGACCTGTTGGCTCTGTAGGCGAACTGCAGGGGGTCCAGGAGGGGTTCGGTGAGGGACTTCAGGTGGGTCAGGACCAAGGTTATTATAGTTTTGAATTTTTCACTAGTTTTTATTTTCTTCTTGTTTTCAATTTCAGTTTAGCTTTAATTAGTTTTTAAAGCGGGTTTGCTAGTTTAGTTTACTTTTTATGTTTTGAAAATGCTTATTTTTAGTTTAGTTTTTATTAGTTTCAGTATTAGTTTTAGTCTTTACCACAATGAATTATAGATACAAGCTATAATAGGTAATACAAACTCAACACAACATACCATTTTAAAAAATGTATTTAGGACAGATGAACAACCATCCCCAAAAGACAACTATGAAATATGTGTCAGTCAGTGTGTTTGTGTCATTAACCAGAAAAATTCCACTGGACACAATATCAACAACAGAACATAAAATGTAGATATGGGTACAAATATGTAAACAGTCTACACAAGATGCAATAGCCAATAGACTAAAGACACACGTGAGCAGCATGTACTAAACCCATTAATGAGCCACACATGACATTGCTTGGGAGCCGGGAGTCTCAGAGAGCTCAATCTGAAAAAAAAAAATCTAAAAGCCAATAAAAACTCTAGAGCAGCGATTCCCAAAGTGTGGCCGGCGAGAGGTCATTTACAATAAATAAATAGTAAATAATGAACAGTGAGACAGCTGGTCAGCACAGTGCTTCAGGGTGTGAGGGGAAACGGAGTCCGGGCCGGCTGCCTTACGGGGATTTTGTCTTTTAGCCAGTTAACGTCTCTCTCCAGAATAGAGAGGGTCGTTGCTGGTCGGGGAGGGGAAGGTGATATAGATGAAGAGGCGTGAGCCCCTGATGGGCTGGGGGAGGGTGGGGAGAGGGACTGGGGCAGGTTGGTGGAGCTGTGGGGGATGGGATCAGGACATTGTCTTTCGATTCTGCAGTAGAACTCATTCACCTCATCTTCCAGACGGAGGTCATTCATGGAGTGGGGGGGTTTTGGCTTGTAGTTAGTGAGGTGTTTGAGGCCTCTCCAAACCGAAGCAGAGTCACTGAGAACGGTTGTTGGAGTTTCTCAGAGTACAGTCGTTTAGCATCTCTCACCGCCTTGCTAAACTTGTATTTTGACTCTGTGTACAAGTCTTTGTCCCCACTCCTAAATGCCTGATCCTTCTGCAGGCGTAGTGTTCTGAGTTCCGCTGTGAACAGTCTGTGCAGTCAAAGCATGCCCGAAGATCCTCCAGCGCCTCACTGGTCCAGTTCTTGAATTTCCTCAGCACAGGTTTGCAGAGGTTTGCAGATGTATCGTACAGCTCGGGAGAACGCTCTCTGCAGGACGTCAGGGAGTATCCTAATGCTGATAGGCCCTCACAACTTCGACCTCGCAACTTCGCCCGAAATTGCATCGAGTTCGAAACAAAAAACACGCCGCTCAATCACAGATTTGAGTTGCTCCAATCTATTCTGTGAATAGAATTTATTTGTTATCCTGTGGCGCGAAGCACTGCGCACCACCATGAGGCTGTGAAAAGGGGTGAGGTATGGACCCAGATTCAGTACGACAGACAGCAGCTGTAGTTTTATTTTCCTCAATGCAACCAAACGTTTACAGAGTCACTGGGAAAAGACGTGGTCAGGGACAGTCTACCATCGGGTGGGTAGAAGGGTTCCGGTGGTAGGGTTCCTCGGTCCTGAAGGAAGGACCCTCATTGTCCACACCAGGAACCTGCTGGGTAGTCCTGGGTGCTGCTTGTGAAACCTTGCAACGAGTCGGGAGTCGCAGATGACCGATCGTCTGATCTGTATGTGCCGATACATACTGGGATTAATCTCGATAATCCATCCAGAGAGGCGGGTAACTTCCCCTGATGCCGTGTCATCAGCTGGATGACAAGCCTCCAGGTCAAATTCTGCCCAATCTGCTATAGCTGGGTTTATTCTCCTCTAACAATCATGCCTAATCACAATATTTTGTGACATTTCAAATTTTTAGCTCATTGAAACAACTATTTTGTTCTAATAACATTTTTGGGGGATATTTTAGATACATCACTATTTAATGGTTGGCTGTGCTACTATTTATTTTGCTAATGTCAGTTTCACTCAACAGGGGAGTTGGGGTACTGATTGCTAGAGAAATCTAGAGGGTGATCAAGTTTAATATGGTAATGAAAATTGTGCATGTCAGAAATCTGTTTAGGAGTTAGAAATTAGAATTTTGACAGACTTAAACCAGAAATACCAGTGAACCCTTTTTCTGAACCAGTCCAGTACAACAGAATATATTGGTTATTGTTAGAATTGTGTTGTTGCTATATGATTTCATTTAAAACTTGTCATTATTACATCACTGTGAACTGCTTGCTACATTTAAAGTTAATTCCGCAGAAAGGAGATTAGCTCCAAAACAAATCCCTACCATAGGGAAAAACATCCTTAACTCCCTTAAATATTCTGTAGTTTCAAGACATCTTGCATCTAGACATCCACCATCACTGCTGCAGCACTAGCGAAGAGGTAACCTTCTCTATGGCTGGTTATCCTCATTTGAAGGTCATTTCTGAAATACTCAAACAGGGATTAATGATGATGAATTTGATTAATCTGATGTTTAAATTAATTATGAAATATTTAATTGGTTTTCTTCTCTGTTAGTTTCGCCTATGGCTGCTTGGTCTTGGTTTTAGCCTTGCTTACGGGAGCATGTTCACCAAGATCTGGTGGGTCCACACAGTCTTCACGAAAAAGGATGAAAAGAAGGACAAGAGCAAGGTAAACATGGTAGAGATTTAAAGCAATGCATTAAAAAAAAATTAAGTACAGCATTTGTGCCAAACCGAGGGGGTTAAACTTTGCTTTGCTTGCTAAAAAGATAACATTATTGGCAGTGGAGATGATGCCCCTTCAAGGGCAAACTTCACTGCCAATCATGTTATCTTTTTTCATTTACTCTGACCTGCTAGAGTTAGCCCAAATGGGATAGCTCAAAGCATATATCTGTTGTGTGGCCTAGCCAATGAACTCATTTATTATGTCCCGGTGTTAAAAAGGCTAGTTCTCCATCCTGTACCAATCTTACCGCTCATGTCTCCTCTCTGTAGAGTTAAAGGATACCTCAATCATGATCTCTTTGAGCGGACGCTCCTTGTGAGAGCAGCAATTTTCCCACCAGAAATAGATATAACTGATGATTTAGTTGGATGAAGGATTATTTTATCAAGGGCTGTGAAAACCATGCTGTGGTTGACACAAGGGGAATTTATATTTCTGTAACAACATGTTTTTTCTAAATCAGTAATGGATAGACAAAAAAGGTTGACAGTGACGAGTGTGGAGTAAATATCTTGTTTGCAACAAATATCTGACGAAGGGAGACCAAAGACCAGAATTGTTATCAGCTTTATGGAACGCAGCTGTGGATAATTACAGATAACTTCAAGCCAGGAGAATAATGCCCGACACAAGACAATACAGACAGACTCAAAAGTGTGTGTGGGGGAGGGAAAGAAAGCCCCTTTGGCTGCTTAGGTTTTCCCCTTCAATTTTCAGAAGGCCAGAAGTGAGTAGTGTAAGTGAAGACAATTTTAAGGAGGTTCAATAAAGGTTCAGCAATTTTGCTGCTTTTCATTCACACATCTTATTCAATTTACTTCATTTTCAGGTTCTCGTTTTACCAGAGCATTAACATGGTTTTGTTCTTACAATCGTAGTATTAAATGTACATGTAGCCCTGTGTGATCTGTACTTGTCATGACACATGTAATATAATCTATATTGACACGTTCCATATAGAGCAGGCCTAGATAGGTTTGTCACAATACTAAAATTATGATTTTGATACAATATTGATAGTATCCTTATACCAGAAATACAATTCCAGAAATATTATAAATATACTAGTACTGTAATAAATAAAACATCTGTATAGTCCTTTTTTACCAGCTGGTTCCTGCCCAGCTTTTTGTACACTTAAATGGCATTAATATTAGTATTAGCCTACAACCAGATTAATGAAAACAACATGGTACCATCATAGCGTTGATTATACAGTGCTATCTAATGTAAGGAAAGGCAAGGCTATTTTTATTCATTTTATCAGCAAGGCAAAATAAGTGCTTCACATAAAACCATTAAAACCGTCCAAACAAAGATAGGAGATTTGAAACTGTTAAGCACATTGATTGAAATAAATATTCAAATTTGCAGTGTAGTTTAGAGTACAAAAAATCCAAAATAGTACTAGTATTACTACGAAATAATTAAAAGGCAGCAGCAAACAAAAGTATTTCATCTAGATTTAAAAGGAGCTGAGGCACTCAGCAGACCTGCAGCTTTCTGCGAAAATATGAGCGCTGCATCTACATGTTTAGTTTTGACTCAAGGAATACCCCTGTACCCGCGCGGTGGTAGTCTTGTGCTGCGTCGTTGCCGTGTCCGGAATACCGCACGCCCCTAGCCAGCTCCGTTCTACCAGCCCTGACGAGGAAGAGACATTTTCTTAAAATCGCGCCGGTCTCATACCGCGCCCATCTCCTGCTTCAGGTCCCGCATAGCTACGTCCCTTTCAAGGGCATGCAAACATGCTCGTAGTATCGCCGGCACTTCCTGGTCTCTGGTCTCCCGGCCCGCCGCGTCCTTGTTGTCGTTGTCCTTTCCTGGCTTCTTCTGCAGCGGCTATTAACGATTGCCTTGGCCAATCACAGTCCCGCAATCAGTCCCATCCTTTCAGATCACAGCTGTCCAACTCCGGGTCAATCATCTCCAGTCCCTTCCGGTTCTTTTACATTTACCCATTGCATACACGCCAATTACATTTACAATGGTCACCACACCCGTACGTGACATTACTTCTAAGCTAATAATTCAGAAGGAGCAATTACTAATGGAATCTTTACCTGAATGTCAGATGCACTACGCATCCCTCCTCCATGCCTAAATGCATTGCAACTTAACATTCAAATCCAACGTTAATTGAAAAAGTGTGAAATACAAAACATGTTTCTCAGAGATACTAAGCTTTTAAAGTTCCACTTTGAGGAGCAGGGAGCGGTTTTCACAGAATCTTTAATCCTGAAAACATGAAAGGAACAGCTTTATTTATATAGAGTCAGGCAGTTATTACTCCTCGTCCAATACAGCCACTTTGTCTTTTTTCCTGCCATGGCCTAGTGCTTTGAGGACTGACTTAATTGTCTTCAGTTAGTGATGGATCATTGTTTTGTAAACCAGCTTATGCTAGTCTTATAGCTTAATAAATCCCTACCGCTCAAATTTCTGATCTCTTGTCATGCTCCAGCAGTGAACACCATATCTGTTTCTTCCACCAGCACCTGGAACCATGGAAACTCTATACTACTCTAGGCGTTCTGCTCGCAATCGACATCCTGTCTCTTATCATCTGGCAGATTGTGGATCCCTTACATGTCACAGTAGAGGTATGACCAATCCATTAATTGTTATTTATTTGTAAGTGGGGAAAAAAACTATTTAACGTTCCTTCATAAATGCAATGACCCTGCAAGAAGAACCAAGTCTACAAGCTTAAAGTATTTGAATGGCGAGAATGCAATGGATGTCGTGTGTACAGATCGAACAACGTAAAATATGTATATTACATTCAATACCTACAACAAAAATTATTCAAATATTGAATATTTAGAGTAGTAAGCCACGTAAAGGGCAGGACCACAGTAGGAACAACCACCATAGACTATAGCCACATTTGTAACCACTATCTTAACTGTCAATCCTAAAATGATGCTGGATAGTATAATGAAAACGTATGTGCTAATAATGCATAGTTAAATCCTTGTAGCCAACCTACTCCCACCCCCCCCCCCCTTTCATGTAGTACTACAATGTGATTGTAAAAGTAACTACACAGTGGTGTAAATTGGATATTGGTGGGCCCTTAAAGTTGGGCCCTGAGACCCAGGTTGTCTAATCTATCTCAGGGTAAAGTCAGCTCCCAGGGTTTTTTCCTGATATAGGCCTAAACTATTTCTGACCATGAGTAGCTGTGACGTGAGTTTGGAGCTCAAGTATATAACTGCAGGTGTATTGCTATTTAATCAAGGAAGCTCAGTGCTGAGTCATCGTACATTCACACCGGACGCGTCGCCAGCGTTTTGCGCCACAGGATTGCATACAAACTATGTATGCAATGCCGCTGGACGGAAGCGAACCTGCGATTGAGCAGCGTGTTTCTCGCGTCGATTTCGCATCAAATGCAGAAAATGCAAAAAGTTAAAGAATATAGTAGGGTAATTGTACTGTTAGACACACTGGTATAACATTACTAAATATTAATATAAACTGTTCTCCCAGTTTTTACTTTGCCTGAACACAAGTACTTTACTTGCACTTCTGTTTTCGAGTTGTGCTTTTGGGTTTAAGTACCTGTAATCCTTACAGACTTCCATCAATTTATCAACGTTTATGGGTTTTGACATGAATGTTTAGGGTGTCCCAAAAACAGGAGGACTCAAATGCAGCTGTCATCTTAACCAAATGTTTAAAGTGAGATTAAAAAAAAAATGCCTAGGAGCAAGTAGGATAAAAAAGGTAGCAAGAACAAAGACTACCCAAAAAAGACTAACAACCTGACGACAACACAAGAGACACACATGGTTTAAATTTACTAGGGAGGTGCAGGTGATTGGACACAGGAGCAAACAGTCAGGGGCAAGGCAGGCAATTACAGAGGGGGTGAAATTACAACAGGGCAGAAACTTCCGCTCGAACAGAGCCAGAACCAACAAAAATATTGTGTACACAAATAAAACAAATACATCAAATGCTTTACACCCTTCAAAGCGTTATGGTACGTTCACACCGAACGCGTTGTGAATGTGTCGCATCACCTTGAGCGCCGCAGGACTCTCGGGATAGATTTGTCAATTTGCGTGTATTGCGTATTTGAGCCAGACGCGACAGGGGGGTGGTTTATCACCCTGAAACAGATCAACTTTCCGCCATTGCTTTTTCCTTGCATCAACCGCGACTCTGTACTTGTCATAGCGACTCTACTTGTTGTGGAAGCTTTACTCACGTCGGATCAAACAGTCATGTTTTTGTACTAAATAGTATCCGTAGGCGCAGACAGCTCGGCGAACTTCACCGACTTCCACAGGAACTGCGTCTGGATGATTGCCACTTCCAGCAGTAAATGGGGCTAGCCGTTAGCTTGTTGGCCCGGATTGGGCACCGGACTTCACATCATACTTCCATGCAGAGGGAACTGTCCCATGGAGAGACATCATATGCTCAAGCACTACCACATGGCTCTTAAGAGCCACACACACACACACACACACCACACACACACACACACACGTTATCGTCCTTGAGCAAACGTCCTTTATATTACTTAATATTTAGTAACGTTATACCAGTGTATCGTTTGACAATACAATTACCCTACACTTTATTGTACTATATTCAGCGCAGTGATGGGATGTTGTAAAAAGGCACATATGGTTGTATGCGGTTTGTTAAAAACGCGCGATCTTGCCTGGACAGATCGCAATAAATACAATAAAATATGTATCGTACAGTCTGGGGCCACAGGACGAAAAAAAATGGACTTTCAGACTTCCCGCCGTGTGGCTTAACAAAAGACTCCTCTAGAGTACTAATCCAGAGTAGAGTATGTGTACTTTCGACTCAATGTAGATGTAGCCTGGTATCTCCATTTTTATTGGCCTTACAGGGAGTTAATTTCACTTCAGGCAAATTTCACATAATTTGAAGGTTTTTTTTGAGTTATATTGATTTCTCTTTTCAATAATCACATATAAACATATTGTCCAGATAAACAAAGTAGTTAACACTTATGGTTGTGCCTTTTTCAGAACCAGGGAAATACAAAATAAAACTCCACAATGTGACAATGTAATATTAAAGCAGTTGGGATTTGGCAGGATGTATTTGGAGATCAAGTATAAAAACTAATAGAATTCTTAATATCCAACTATTAAAACATGCAAAGTGGAACTGTGGAGCTACGGAGTAGCGACGGTGTGTTTGGAACTGCAGCCTGCTTCCACTGTGTGGGATGGGTTAAAATGCAATGAAAGTCGCTGTGGATAAAAGATTCAGCTAAATGACATGTGATGTAATCACAGAACAATGCTCCTTAAATAGTTACATTCTGTGTGTGTACACACAGAAATGGGCATGTCATGGTGCAGGAAGAAACACAGATGGCTTTATACATCGCCCTCATCATGTTTAGAGAGAGAGAGAGAGAGAGAGAGAGACAGAGAGCGCTACCCCTCCCCGTCGGTCGGTCCCCCCGCAGCGACTACTCCCCCTCCCCCCCCATGCTATTTTGACGTGTTTATTATCAGTTAGACCTTCTTGACCGGTCTGCGGAATAATTGAGATGAAAATGGTAAAAAGAAGGAAAAAAAAGGTTGGGGACCACCAACTACAATAGTAGGGTTTAAAATCAAACTTGTGACAGCAATAGTGACAAGTAATGCATGTTAATGGAAATAAATCCGAACACATTCAGGAGACAACGAAATAACAAACACGTTTGTTTTGAATCAGAGCAGCAACTGATTTAACACATGAGACTCCAGGATTAATCTTAGCCTGCCCTGGAGCAAAGCTAAATTCATTCATACATTTTACAGATAGACCTTGTGGTTGTAGAGATAGAGCCTTTTTACTATGCGTTTGCAAATTCAAGGAATAGAGGCCTAAAGACAGGCTATGGCTAAACAATGAAGTATTGTTGTTCTTCACCTGTGTGTATGTATGCAGAAATTCACCAAAGAAGCCCCCAAAGGAGACCTAGATGTTTTGATCCAGCCTTTACTGGAGCACTGCAGCTCAGAAAAGATGAACACATGGCTGGGTGAGAAGAAATCTGTGTAATTTATATAAGTTGGAGGTGTGTGCAGGAATTTGGCATTTTTAAGATTTAAAACGTACTGTGAGAACTCTGAACCCTCTTTATATACACTTTTGTTTAGCAGTTTAGTACTAACAGCTCCAACTTTTCTCACAGCTGCCCTTCTGTTTCCTTACTGCAGGTGTGGTCTATGGTTACAAAGGTTTACTGCTGCTGCTTGGCATCTTCCTGGCCTATGAGACCAAGTCCATCTCCACAGAGAAGATCAATGACCATCGGGCGGTGGGCATGGCCATCTACAATGTTGCTGTGAGTTCAGTTAGTTGGAGTGTGTTTTTGTAATTGTGTGTGGGTAGGTGTTTGCATTAATTTGCCAAAGAGTATGACCTAAAAGATGCACTTAAAAAAGGTTACAGTCTTCAGTAAACCAACATGTAGGAAAATTATGTATACATTGTCATGCAGTAAAAAAAATTATATATATATATATATATATATATATATATAAAATATTTGTGAAAACACAGGTAAAATATTTTAAATCAACTTATTTGATACAACGTATTTAAATAAAAAGAAAATGTAATTTCAAATATAAAAGCTGAGCTATTTGCCACTGCCCGGGGATTAAGGTTTTAACTCCCACAATCATAACATTTCTAACAAGCCAGATAACATTTCTTCTATCAGGGACGGCATAAAGACAGTCAGCAGTCTTATGTCCGCCCACAAATTATGTCATTGATTGAGAAGCATGATGACACCTTCCCCAAGTCAATACTGATTAACACCACCTCCTGTGACCAATAATTTGTCTGTATGTGAGTCAATTATATAACAGACTTTCAAAATAAAAAAAAGTTACAAACAAGGCAAAGAAAGAATACAGTTCTGCTTTGTCTGCACTGATTGGAGTGTTTTTGAAGTACAACCAGAAAATAAACTCACTAATGAGGGAAATAAAGGCAGCTAAGAAGAGCTGCATGGAGATGCTGAAAAAAAACAAGTGTTTAAAGTTCCCACATCAGTGTGGAGGGGCGTGCAAGAACTCAAACTGCGAAGTGAATGTGAGTCAGCTTTTTCCCCCGACTAAGACAGCGTGTTGACTTCCTGCCAGAAAGTCTGTGCTGACCAGCTGGCCCTCATCTTGCTCTTATATTTAACCAATCACTGAAGCGGAAATCACTGAAGCTGTGTGTCCCCTCCTGCTTCAAATACGCCACCATCAAGAAATTACAGTTACAGTCTAAACTTGCAGTACAGTATTTATTCCTTTTTAAGTTAACACTAAATCTACCCATTACCGACGTCATATAAATCACATTGCATCAAGGGTCTACTTATTTATCACGCGATCCTGTAGATACACGCTCTACAACATCAGGAGAATACGTCCCCTTCTCACTCAGAAGGCAGCGCAGGTACTGATTCAGGCTCTTGTCATCTCCCGCCTGGACTACTGCAACTCCCTCCTGGCTGGTCTCCCTGCCACCGCCATTCGACCTCTGCAGCTCATTCAGAATGCAGCAGCTCGACTGGTCTTCAACCTTCCGAAATTCTCCCACACTACTCCACTCCTCCGCTCTCTTCACTGGCTACCGGTGGCCGCCCGCATCCAGTTCAAAACATTGGTGCTCACGTACCATGCTGTGAATGGATCGGGTCCAGCTTACATCCAGGACATGGTCAAACCCTACATCCCAACCCGCACTCTCCGCTCTGCATCTGCAAAACTACTCGTCCCTCCCTCACTGAGAGCAAAACACTCGACTAGGTCTCGACTCTTCGCTGTCCTTGCGCCAAAATGGTGGAACGAGCTCTCTGAAGACACCAGGACCGCAGAGAGCCTTCACATCTTCCGCCGCAAACTAAAGACACACCTCTTCAGACTCTACCTCGACTAAAGACTAACAAATTGTAGCACTTAAATTGTACTTGTAACGTCACTCATCTATAGCAAATTGTAAATTGGCTTATTTGAGGAAATTGCACTTTCTTGTTTCTTGTTCTCCTGAGTTTGTACCCTATGGTTGAATGCACTTATTGTACGTCGCTTTGGATAAAAGCGTCAGCTAAATGACATGTAATGTAATGTAATGTAATGTATCACATTCCATGTAAAGAATCCTAAAAACCCTTAAAACAAAACTTTATTCCCGGTCGTATTTATAGAGGTTTATCCTCTGACCAAGGCGCAATAATTTACCCGACCAGCTGTGTACCCCCGCTGCAAAAGGTAACCTAAATCAAATACAAACAAGGCAGCCCATCCAAAATCGGGGAAAAAACAGCTGTATGCAAACGGAACACATATCCGAATCAAACCATAAATGTCCAGCAGTTCAAAATTAAGTTTAGGCACAAAGAATAATCAAGGGAAACGTCCTTTGAGGAAAGTCTTTTTGAGAAGTCCTGATATTGGCACTTTTAAGTTAAAGTGGAATACACGGCCGGTGTGTGTTGGGTTGCGTGGGGTGGCATGTGGGGTTGAGAGTGCGTGTTGGATGATCCGGAGCAGTCGGGAGAGATATTTCTGATGGGACTTATCTGTCCTGATCGATGACGGCGAGGAAGCCCACCGTAGTCCAGGGCGGTCCAAAGGTCTCTCCAGCCTTCCAGTGTCGAGCAGTTCCTTTTATTTATCACTCTCGTAGGGGCACCCAGTTTTTGTTTGTCCTTTTTCCTCTCTCCTCTCTCAACTCTGCTTTGCAGCCTCTGTCAGTTGATTGCTTTCCCAACTACAGCAGGTGTGTCCAATCTCTTAGCCTTCCTTGCCCACCTTCTTTATTTTCGTCAGGTGGGAAAAAAACAGGTCTGCAGACTTTGGTCTGCTACAACTTTGGTTTCTGGGATTTTCAGCTTTTGCACAGATATGATTAATTGTTGATTGTCGATTTCCAACCTCACCTCCATCTCCCTGATATTTAATTTGATGTCGAGCTTCCTTTCCTGCTGCCTCTCGGATAAACTTGGTTGGTATAACAATGAAACACGTGTTGTCAAATAAACCACACATACCACAATTTCATAGTCCGCACTCAAACAACAAACAATTTAAATCTGCCAAATGGTAATGTTGTCCGAATGCAAATGGTGGGAAAACGTGTTTTGGAGTCTTCAGTTATATTCAAGAACTTATGTTAGAACAACACCGTATGAGAAAACATTTTTGTTTTGTAAGGAATTTATATATATTGTAAAGTATTTGTATTGGAATTTAAAAATAAGCCATAAACAACACAAAATAAATGAACGATTTTCCAATTATATTTAAAAAAATACTATGAATGCTTACACAAGAAGAAACACTAGATGCCAACATTGTTTGACTTGGCCTTCAACAGTATTAACAATTTAACAAATGTAATTTTTCCCCCAAAATGTAAACAAATGTTTGGGTTATTAGTAACTTGTATTACTTGTTCACTAAAGTAATTGCTGAGTAACGGGGGGTATAGTGGCATGATGTTCAACAGATCTAGAAAACCCAGCAGACAGACAGGGAGTTTTTAATTCAATTTGGTTTGTCTGGCCCACTACCACAAACACCTAATTTGCCCCAAAGAGCTGTAAAATTTACATAAGCAGGCCCTTTATTATTTTAACAATGCCTGCATCTAATAATACGATTTAGTATTGATGACTACCAATTCATACCTTAAATAGAAAATGAATCACTTTTATCTCTACTTTGATGATCAGTAAAATAGCAAAAGGTTATAACAAGCAAGTCAATAAGTGCAAATCAACAATGTGTTTTTATTGTTATCATAGCTGATCAGTGTTCAGGTACCTTTTCAATATTGATTTAGGTTTAGAATGAAATTATTTTGGTCTATAGTGGTTACAGAATGTTCTGCCTTTTGACTTACAGGCTCAGAGTGACTTGACAAATGCCATTTTCTATAATAAAATAACTAAAGTTGTTTCTTTCCACTGTTTATCTCAGGTGCTCTGTATGATAACAGCTCCAGTCACCATGATCCTGTCCTCTCAGCAAGATGCCTCCTTTGCCTTCGCCTCCTTGGCCATCGTCTTCTCAGTCTACATCACGCTGGTGGTTCTGTTCATCCCGAAGGTAAACGCAAAGCCTTTCGTCTTATCATATCCTGCCTGTAGATTGAATGGAATGCCCTTCACTCTGCTTTGCTTTCACCACCATGGTTATGTGCAATCATTTCATCTTACCCATCTTTTGACAGTCTAATTCATGTTGTATTCAATTTTATCACAGCTCATATTCTTTTGGTTGTTTTTACCCCACCAAATGTTGACCCTTGTTGCACAGATTTGCACCCGTCATTTAGCTGACGCTTCTAAAGCGATATTCAATAAGTGCATTTCAACCATGAAGATACAAACCCAGAACAAGAAACAAGAAAGTGCAATTTCATCAAAAGAGCCGATGGTAAAGAGAAAGGGGCCAGTAGGCTGGTCCTTACTGGCTTTACCTTGGACAAATGAAAGATAGGATGGATTAATCACCTTTGAGATGGGGAAGGGGCTGATGAACCGCGGCGCCCACTTACAAGTGGAAGATCCTGGGTGGACAACCAGACCTTCTGTCCTGCACAGTTGCGAGGAGCTAGCGTGCAGTGATTGTTGACTGTCCTCACCGAAGTAGTGCCGCTCAAGCTTCCAGGTGAGGTGACACCTACACACCAGTGCTCATGCGGATGGAACTGTAACTCACCCTCCAGGTCCGAAAACGAGGGTGGTAGGTACATGTAGACAACCTGAAAGGACCTATAGTAGAGGGAGGCAGTGAAGGTGAAAAACATGGGCACAGACCAGACAGCTGGCCACAATTCTCCCGTGTCCCCCTCCAGTGATGGCCATCAGAACGGCTGTTTGTCTACCCCTTGGTCCCTCGCAGCAGAGTCTGGAAGACTGCCCCCCACTACAGGACTCGGAAACTCGGCACAAGTCTCTGAATGCCCCAGCTATTAGGAAGGAGACAGGATGGAAATGGGGTCTGTTGATTATTCCATTCTGTAGCCCATTCCCGAATCCTCTGAGAGGTTGGTGATTGCGTTATTCGCGAATATATTAAGCGAATATTCGCTTTAAAAAAAAACATATTCAAATATAGTTGAATATCTGGTTGCGCATTAGGCACGTCAATAACAGGCAAATAACCAAACCAGTGCATGAAGCTGTTGTTGTAGCCTAGTAGCCTATTTTATTCATGCAATATAGTTAGTACAGGCGCGCATCCACCCGCAAAGCAGACAGTTGTGCCACTGCTGCCGCTGCTTTTTTTTTTTTACATTCGAATATTTATTTTCACATTCGAATGTGAAAGATAGTTAACTATTTGAATATAGAATATTCGTTGACGGTCCTATTTTGAACACCACACTGGATCATTTGGTGGGGTAGGACCGGGGCTGGAGGTTAAAGATTGGCAAGCATATGTTATACATCCACATTAGAGATTGATTTTAGAGATTATTTTCATCTTTTTTTAATTTCACAGCCAATTGAAGAAATACATCAATATTACACCAATCAAATAACTTTGATTTTTGAGATTCACCTGAAAAAATTGTCACAAACAGTGTCATAGTTTGGGAAGGAACCCCAAAACAGACCGGGATTCAGAATGGTGGTGGATGGTGGGTTTCGGGACAGAGGATGTTGTATGTGTACAGACTGTAAAGCCCTCTGAGGCAAATTTGTAATTTGCGATTTTGGGCTATACAAAATAAAATGAATTGAATTGAATGGTGGTTTATTCAATCATAAGGTGAGGAGTAGGAGGCCAGCTGGTCGGGACCGGACCAGAAAAAAGCGGAGTCAGAATCACGTAAACTGCAGACAGTGAGGTCAGAAAAGCATTCAGGCACTATCCACGCATAAAAGTGACTTAACGACTGGTCGTCTGGTCTTCTTCTTAATCCAGTCTTTAATTGTGATGAGGAGTACGTGTGTAAGCCCAGGGCACTGAAACTCCTCCCACCAGCAGGACTCACAAGGAGGGGTTCGTGACAAACAGCCCAATAAATCCTATAAAACATTGAAATATCAGGCCATATCTATGTTATAGCCCTGGATTTGTACAAATGTAAAAATTCACATTGATAGTGAGGATAAACTACTGGCCCTTGTGAACGGCTGGCACAGATTCCTCATTTTTTTTATAAGTCAACTTCAGATTGGTTGATCCGCGTCATTTCACCATTATACTGAGTTTGATCAGCCCTAATATAACAAAAGTGACGTGCAAATGATCGACAGCTTCCCCAGCCACTTAGAAGACAAAATGGGTAGAGCGTAAAATGACACATTTTTGATGGACTGTAAAAATAAAAACCCGAAGCCGAGGAAATATAAACAGTATCACTAGATTCAGTGCTATCTGCTGATGCTGTTTGATGTGTTTTTTGCCATGCTACGTCCCTGGGGTAAGAGATTAGAAGGTTTAAAAGAAGGTGACGTTATATTCAGCCACAAAAAAACAGGCAACTAAGGTAATTCCTTCAATCATACAACCATCAACAATGTAAAATAGCGCCCATTTTGTGATGTGGCAACCAATCTGGTGGAGGGATTAGCAGCCCCACTACTTGGGCCCCTTGTGATGCCACACAGAGTACAATGGTATAGTGGTGTGTTTGCACAACTGAATGTATTATGTGATCCTGTCCCTCACACATCATGTCCTTCCCATGTGTTCCACATAGCACATCCCAGTACGTTGACGCAAAGCAGTCCTGCAGGAAACATATTCATATTCAGGAAACGCTGTTAAGTTAATTTAATCAGGTTGTCTCATGTCTATGATTTCCTGTTTTATTTTGAAAGTTAACCTTCCTCTTGTTTCAGGCAACTTGCTTCTTCCCCTTGTGTGCAAGTCCTATTGTCTGCCCTGCCCCTGATTGTTGTTTCCAACTGTGCCCTTACCCTCTGTGTATATATTGTCTGCTCTCCCTTGGCCCTGTGCCAGTTCGTCTTGACCTGTGTGATAGAGAACCCGCGTTTACCCATGCCCTTTGGCATTGACAGGTTTTTGTTCTTTGTTCAGGCTCGATTTCTGTTTTACTCTTTTTTTTTCCAGTCTAGCTTTTATTTTCTAGATCTTTTTTTTTTCTACGGTTTAGTATAGGGTTAGTATAGGGTTTTCCTATCCGAGAACGATTTTCATTTTTGGCCTTTTGTAATAAACTTCCATTTTGCAACTGGAGTTGTGGATTTGGATTCAGGTTCATTGTCCGGTTGTGACATTTAGCCTCCTGTCTCCACCTCTTCACAGTCATGGTGGTTACATGCTACCTCTTCAAAATAGGAACATGCTTTGGTATTAACCGGACCAAGTTGTAATCAGACATACTAGGTGGGGGAGGAGGGCACTGGCACTGTGAGTTTGCTAATGCTACCATTAGCAAATCAGTAGGTCAACGTTGTAGTGTTTCATGTGTGGGCAGTTAACATGATAACTGGTTAAATTTGGCATTGCTCTATTTTGCGTGGTGTCATTTAAGTCACCAGTAATTGCCAAAAATGGACCTGAATGTTGAATCTGCGGTCCAGACATAGTGGAGGGGATGGTTTTCACTGCTTCCTCTGCGTCAGCTGATGGAGGAACGGATGTAGGAACAGCAATGGAGGATGAAAACTCCCTCTGTAAATAATAATTTTGTATCCTTGTCGCTAAAGTTTTAATGAAAAAACACTGTAAAAAGGAGATTCAATGACTTAAACGTAGTTTAAACCCTGCTTTATCTATTGAAGCAGGGGAATATAGTCAAACTGTCGTGCTGTCCAAGGGCGTTATGTCTTGTCTAAAACATGCTGAAATTGGCTTGTCATTATTAATTAAATTAAACAGTTAATACAATATATAAAAGTTCATTACATTCAAGTACAACTGTCCTTGAACATGAAGTGGGAAAAAAACTGAAGGGTCGATGAAATTGCATGTTGAAAAAAAGTTGTCCAATCCTACACTTACATTACCGCTAAAAATGTAAGTTCTTATGCAGGTAATGACCTGCATCGGAATATACGGGGTAAAATTCAGCAACTGGTAAATTCCTGACAATAGAAAGATCTATGATCTCTGATCTATAGAAAGGATAACATATGGATTTTTTATAGATGCGGCGCCTGATCACTCGGGGTGAGTGGCAGTCCGATGCCCAGGAGACCACAAAGACCGGCTCGTCCACCAATAACAATGACGAAGAAAAGTCCAGACACCTGGAGAGAGAGAACAGGGAGCTGCAGAAGATCATTGAGGAGGTCAGTCGGGTCTTTTCTCTTGTTATTATAGTTTACTTTGGATGCACTGTGAGGAGGCAGACATTTTGAAAACAATTAAAAACCTGGAGAAATTAAATCAAAGCTATTATCAGGGATTCTTACCACTAGCTGGATGTGAATTTGGATAAAGCGACACATATAGCCATGTTTAGTTAATCAGCCTGAAACATGTCTTTCCAACTCCTGTCAACAATCAAACAACTGACACCATAAGCATACCATGAACCGATCTATAGGTTTAGATGATTTCCCTGGAGAAGATTGATAAGTCGTTGTCACTATTTGTCCCCTCAGAAAGAAGAGCGGGTGTCTGAGCTAAGAAACCAGCTGTCAGAGCGGCAGGCACTGAGATCGAGGAGAAGAGCATCCATTCTCACCAATCAGAACTACAGCTCTTCATCCAATACCATTCCCTATAGGGACCCAAGGTCCCTGGCCCCGCCTCCGGGGTACCCCACCTCCATCTCTGACATCCCTCCCATCCCCCTGTCCTTTGGCAACTCGTCTAGTCTTTACCAACCGGACAGCCAGATCAGCCGAAATAACTACCACACCAGCCATCTGCAGCTGCTGTACAAGTGAGGTTGTGGTGAACAGTGGGGGAACAAGGACGCCGATTATGTTCAAAGCTACATGGACATGGAGAAAACCAAGTACGAACATAGTTTTGAAAGATTAATCAGTTTCTGTTGGAATGGCTGGCTCCAAATCCCCTTCCGGAAATCGGTTGATGGCAGAGGATAACCAGCTTGACCAGATCATCACGTTATCTTTTTTTTTTTTAATCATACAATTTGTATCTAATCTGCGTGTGATTTATATGCCAATCAAATTCAGATTCTCACAAACCAACGCTATTAACTAACTAACCAATTAACTATCACTAACAGTGGTGTTAAGCTAGCTACAGCTGGAGAAAATCAATACTTACAATACTCCGTTCAGATGAAAAAAACAGATGGTCTCTGACAAAAAGGCTGAAGACCCCTACTGTTAGCTAATGTATAAAAGCTAACGCAGCTAATTGGGTGCTGTACGCTGAATACTATTTCAAAACATTTATCATATCTTTAACCTCGCATTGCCTCCTAATGTGTTTAGTGCTTTGTACTGTAATACTGTAATGTAATAGAGGCTGGATGAAAGGACAGACTTCATGATGATGTCAGTTTTGAGACAAGGTAAAATATTTTGTAATTTAAGCTCCTCTTGTTGAATGTTTGATGGTGTTTTTTTCAATGCTGTTTTCAATGCAGGCTCTTTTCAAGGAGACTACTGAGTCTTTGTACATAGTTGGATGTGTTCATGCTAAACCCCTCACTGTGGACAAACATAGTCCTGTAGATTTAGGTATGAATAAAAAAGTACACTGCTTTTGTCGGTCAGGTATTTACTGTATCAAGGCTGTGGCTAAAAGCATTCATTCAAAACCTTCAAGTGTTTAATGTTGAAAAGAAGAATTTCGGTTTATATCTTATCACATATAGGGACTGAGGCGAAAACAAGCAGCACTGTTTCACCCCAAAGCATCAAAACTTCTATGACTTTTATGTCAGGCCAAAAACACAACCCTTTCAGTCTTTTCTTTATTTAGTAAGAAATAATCCTGGCATGTCTGGTCATTCAATTTGAACTGACTACAATGTGACCACAATCAGCCAGTGGAAAATACATGTCAATCTGGCCAAACACCACATGTTACCCTGTTTATTCTTTTGATAAATTAATTTTAATAGAGATTGAAAACAGATGGGTTAGGGTTAGGGCAATGTGGACTGTTGTTTCTAGGCAAATAGGTAAGGCTCACATTGGCTGACACCAAATTCTGTTAAGATAAATTAAGTGTCCATTCATCCAAACACTTCGAAATGCTTATCCTGCACAAAGAGTTGCTGGAGTCTATCACAGCCAACTTCGGGCGAGAGACGGTGTACACCCTGGACTGGTCCCCAGCCGATCACAAGGCTAACACAGAGAAAAGCAACCATTCACACTCACACACCTACAGACAATTCTACACAGTCACCAATTAGCCTGATCCCCAGGGCATGTCTCTGTGGGAGGAAGCCAGAGTACCTGGAGAGAAACCAGGCAGACACGAGGAGAACATGCAGACTCCACACAGAAAGGCCACTGGGCGGAGTCAAACCCACGAAGTATAGTTCAATGAAAATGAATTAAAACCACTAACCCAATATCTCACTGATTTGGTTCCTGCTGTTTTCCATTCAGATCATGGTGCATTGGTGGGACAATCAGCAATGCAGATTATAATTTGTTTGAAAACAGTTCTAAAATATTTTTAAGTATGTAAGTCCATATGTGGGCCCAGGGTATAGTCCTTGCTCTAGGAAACCTCAGTTAACATTGTTTAGTTCATATTCAGGGTCTTTCAGATCCAGATTTTCCCACTTGGGGAAAATCTTTTGGTGTAGTGCAGTCAAGATATGAGGACAACCCAAAGTCCACGTAATAACAATAGCATAGTACGTAACATGCTCATACTCAAACAGCTTTGATGAATCAGGAATCAGGAAACATTTATTAGCCAAAATATGTAAAAAATACAAGGAATTTGTCTTGGCGATTAGTGATCGACAGTGGACAGACAAGACAACAGTGCACAAGTAATAAAATAAAGTGGAATGAAATGCTAATGCAATGTGTTAGTAGAATAAGGCTAAGGCTATGGGTTAGTATAAAACAAGAGAATAAAGTTTAAAAAAATTTAAATATTAAAAAGTAAAAAAGAAAAATATTAAGCATAAAGTGCACTAACAAACAAGTAACAGACAAGAGACAAAGTGACAAGTGACAAAGTGATGAATTGCAGTTAAAGTGGCATGTGCAGTATGAAGGGGAGTGACCGGTGGAGTGTTATAGTCAGGCAGTGGGGGACCGGGCTCTGTTGATGAGCCCGACTGCCGACGGGAAGAAACTGTTTGTGTGGCGGGAGGTCGTAGTCCTGATGGACCTCAGCCTCCTGCCAGATGGAAGGGGCACAAACAGTTTTTGTCCGGGGTGGGAGGGGTCGGCCGCGATCTTTTTAGATCGCTTCAGAGACCTGGAAGCGAACAAGTCCTGCAGGGACGGCAGATTGCAGCCGATCACCCTCTCTGCAGAGCGGATGACACGCTGCAGCCTGCCCTTGTCCTTGGCTGTGGCTGCAGCGTACCGGACGGTGATGGAGGAGCAGAGGATGGACTCGATGATGGCCGTGTAGAAGTGGACCATCATCGTCTTTGAGTGAAGCTCACTCAAAATTAAACATGTTTTAAACTCTCAGTAACCAGAAAGAAACACGCTAAGAAGCACATAGCACAGAATAGACATTCAGCCCCCAGTGACTCGTAAATACATGGCAGTAGTAGCCTCGCAAAAAAGCCTTTAATAGACAAGGCTCCTCATACTGCACGTGACCCACTGTGCATTGTGTTTCATGATATATTTGCTCTCTAATCAAAATTGGTGGATCTTCTTCAGGTGTAGGTAATAAGAGAGGCCATAGCATAGCCTGCACATGCTATTCAGTTAGTTTCAACAACCGCTCACACACTTCATCCACTGCTCTAGACACTTCAAATATACAAATTACCACTGTATAGGTCAGTGCTGCATTTCTCTTTCTGCTGTGTTCACTCTTCTGCTTCTATGCTCTCACTTCCAAATGTAACTTCTGTGAACAGAAATAAAGACTCTATGATTAAGTTTCATATCTTTTTATAAAAAGTTAAATTACAGCAGTATGATACTGCTTGTATACATTATACTAACTTCACAATAAATAACTGAGGCAATAGGATGGGGCTTTTGGTTTCTTAATACATGGCTCTGAGCTTAAAGTTGTCATAACAACGTCAAGCTCAGTGTCACGTATTAAGACAATACGTGACTGGCAAAGCATCATATAAACACACACTTTGACTGTTGAATGTCTGGCAGTGTTAAACCCTGTATATACAAATTTTACCAACACCACCCGGCCAGTAATGTGAAGAAGATGGTTCAATAATAATAATAAAAGAACATTTATTTAACCAGGCTCTCTTGGTTAAATAAATTGAAAGATTGAAAATCCCTTTTTAAGGGAGACCAGACCAAGACCAATCACAACATAAGACACACATAGTTTCAACAATAAACACAGATTAAGACAAGTTAAAAGAAAGTGAAAGTTTAAGAGCAAGTTATGTAACTAGGGAGTGACAGCGAGATCCTCCTTGTGGCAGTGGCAAGTGGGTGGCAACTTTGTGGCAGGCAGCGGCAATCGCCAGTAAATCAGTCGGCGTCACGACGGCACGCTGGGTGGGAGGAGCCAATTTTTCCCAGAAACAACTGTTATTTGTACGACAGGTCAGCTGCTGTAAATATTTAATTTTATTTAATTTTATTTAATTTTATTTGAGACACGTGAGCCCCCGTCTTCTTATTACAGAGGCTAATTTTAGGTTTGGACCGGCGGGTTCCGTGTAGGGGGTGGGGCTCTCAAGTTTGATGCCACCCACTTGCCACTGCCACAAGGAGGATCTCGGCCTTACTGTAACTAGGTTCATTTAAAAAACTTTGAGATATTTGGGAACATTCCTCTATTTCTTTCATTTTAGATTGTGGTATCAGTTTTAAATTATTCTGCAACATATTCCATGATAAGAATGCCGAGTACACAAAAGCAAAAGACCGGCCACCCAGACCCAATGATTATTCAATTTCTAAGCTTTCTGATGCGGGAGCGAGTGCTTGCTGCGGAGAGGGAGAAGTGCAGAAATAAGAAGTCAATTCCTAAGGTTCTTTCTACAATTGACATCTTTTCAAAAATATCAGGGTATAAAATAAATTGGTATAAATCAGAATGTATCAAAAGAATGTACTCGGGCAATAATAGAGACATTACAGTTCAAATGTATCCCAAAGGGTCTGAAATATTTGGGAGTTTAGACTCTGATATCGAAAACATTATCTCTATTAATATGGACCCTTTACTTTAAAACAAAGCTAAGTTAGACAAATAGAAATGTATCAATTTTACCTTATGGGGAAAAATTAATATTATTAACATGATGGTGGCTCTGCAATTTAACTACATTTCCATGATGATTCAACTAACCATCTCTGAAGGGATCGTTAAAGGATAAAATCACTTAGTTTTTTATGAAAAAAAACAACCTAGAATCAGTATGAAAAAGCGCTTTGCCTCAAGCGACAATGGAGGAATCCATCCATCCATCTTCAAACCGCTTATCCTGCACACAGGGTCGCGGGGGGGCTGGAGTCCACCCCAGCCAACTTCAGGTGAGAATAATGGAGGAGCGGCTCTTCCAAATATGGAATTATATAGTATAGCATTTGAAATGAACAAGCTAGCATGGCACTGGGCAAATTCTGGACGTAAACCAAAGTGGGTAAAAGTGGAAGGGATACTATAGGCACCATCCCAAGTTATAGACATACTATCACAAAAACACATAAAACAAAGAGATCTAATTTTACAACACTCTCAGTGGACATGGGCAAGAGCAGACAAGATGGTATCTCTCATTACAAACAAGACTACTTGTCACGGTTTGGGTTTGTTTCCTGTTTTGTAGTTCACTTCCTCTTGTGTCCCTGGGTAACTTCAATTCCTACCTTGTCCTGTGATTGTCTGCCGGGTCTAATTGTTTCCACCTGTGTCCTATGGGGCGCCGTTTGTGAAATGTTGCACGTTCTAAAATCCTGCGCAGTTTTGCTGCATTTAGCCTTATCATATGAACAAAAAAGCACGACAATATTCATATGTCACTTTTTCAAACATTTAGAGAGAAATTCATGTAAATTCATGCATTTCCAAGCATAATGTTTGGCAGTAACACAAAGTTGTTAAATAATATAAATGTTAAATGTAAATGTAAATGTTGAATGTAAATCTAAATGTTATATCTAAATGTTAAATGTAAATCTAAATGGTTCCACAAAAGAGGAGCTTGATATCTGAAGGCTCTGGCTCCCATCCTACGTTTTAAGTAACCCAGCATTTATGGAGCAGTATTACAAAGGGTAATACAATTTACCATACTTTTGCATTTATTTCCCAAATAATTAAGACAAGACTACAACATTACATCATTATTTCTCTTTGTCATTTTTTAGGCCCCTGCTCAAAAGTGGCATATATGTAAGGGTGGTTATATCTGATGGTGGTTATGTCTGAGGGTGGTTATAATCAATGGTGATCATATCCGATGGTGGTTATATCTGTGGGTGGTTATGTCTGATAGTGGTTAATCTGATGGTGGTTATATCTGATGGTGGTTGTCCCTGCAGTGGTCCTGTCTGACACCTGGCTTACTTCTCTCAATAATTAATGAATCTATCATATGAATTGAACGTACTGTACATA